TCAATGACATGAGACAAAGTATATGTGAACTGCTGTATGAAAAGTGAATTTACTTTGTAAATCTTCACCCAAATCCTAATTAAAAAAAAAAAAAGAACCTCAAGGTTAAACTGTCAAGAATGGGGATAATACAGAACATTAATATATTCCTTTGGAATGCATTGTGCTTTGGCAGTGTGTTTTCTACTCTAACTCTATTCCAGGCTCTGAACACATCCTGATTAATACCAGTAAAAGTATGCCGGGAAGCAAGAGGAAGTCTGGTGTTAGGAATCATCTACAGAACACCCACAAAGTGGAAAATTTCACACTTGGATAATAGAGAGTTGACTGCACTGGAAACAGAAAAGTGGCTTTCCTGGACTCTGGGCAAGGAAGGCAGAAACCCAGTGAACTGCCAGTGATTCATGCCTTTGTTTTCTGGAGCTGCAAAGTTATGGAGAAAATCAGAGGGAGAGGGGAAGATGATGAAAATAGCAATAAGGACCACAGGGAAGGTTATAAGAGGCCAAGAGAACTTCTGCAGCTGAAGAGGAGGCTGATCAGCAGCTGAATCACTGATCTTCAGGCACTGCACTGAATGAAGGTCCATTCAGGCTGCTGTCCTGCAACTCCACCTATTCTATCCCATCCAACAAGACGAGTGGACTCCAGGAGCTGGCAGCTGATGAATTTCTGTGAGACCCAAGATGGAATGGCAAGTTATGGTGTCAGAAACTCCTTCCTTACAGAACTTTAAGAACCAGAGAGTTAGGATTTTGTCTTGGGACAGTCCTGGCTAGAGGCTAGGTTTCAGTGCGATTATTTCTAGAGAGCCCCGATTGTCTCATCTCCAGAAATAATAACTAGGAGGACCTGGTAATTAACTGGTAAATAGCTAAGAACACAAATGTAATCACAATTTAGTTCCCCTGTTTTCCCAGGCAATATATCCTGGAGAGGTAATTTAAGAGCCACACAGAAGGCAAATGACACTAGGCTCAAGGAAAACAGTTTATGGTTAACTAATCCTGCTTTCTGGTGGCTCTATGGTTAAAGCACTGGGCTGCTAACCTAAAGGTCAATGGCTCAAACCTTTCCACAGGAGGAAGTTGAGGCAGTCTGCTTCTATAAAGATTTACAGCCTTGGAAACCCCATGGAGCAGTTCTACCCTTTCCCATGGGGTCACTATGAGTCAGAATCAACTCAATGGCAGTAGGTTTTGGTTAATCCTACTTTCTAAATACAAGAGAGGAAACAAAAATCAGATTTAGACTTTCCCTATTAGTATCCTTATCCAAAAGAGCCTTACTGGTACAGAGGTTAAAAGGCTGGTAGTTCAAATCCACCAGTTGCTCCACAAGAGAAAGATGTGGTAGTCTGCTTCCATAAAGATTATAGCCTTGGAAACCCTATGGGGCAGCTCTACTTTGTCCTACAGGGTCACTATGAGTCAGAATTAAGCCAGCAATGGGTAATCTCTATCCAAAACTACTGGTATTTAGATAAATATCAACATACACACATGCACACACTGGAACATCTTTCACCGGCTCCTCTTCACCTAAAAGTTTCCTTTGGGAGCTTTTGCTATGTGACCTCCACATACTTATTCATCCTCATTATCTGCCACATGTACCTTATGTTTTAGATTCCAGAAAGGCTAACATCCTTGTGCTCTCCACATCTATCATGCCATTTCATACCACCATGTTTCTGCATCACCTGGTTGTCTACTTGGAAAAATGCTACTCATCTCATGAAGGTCAGCAGTTCAGCATGAGACCTCCCCTTTCCTTCCTCTGCAGTACTTCTGTACCTACTATATGCATTCGATATTATGTTTATCACATTGGATGAAAATTTTTTATTCACCTATCTTTCTCCCCACCTGGAGAAGCCAGGACTAGCTATCTTTTATCTTTGCATCCCTGGCATTTCCTAACACAAAGCTTGACAGGTAGTCTGCACTCAATAATACTTCATTGAATTGAACAGATCTGTGGATCTTATTACTTGATTCAGCAAATTTCTGAAAAATAAAAAGGGCAGGCTGCTACATTAGGCAGCCAATACAATGACCCTTTATAGAATGCAACATACTATACAGCATAGGGTGGAGCAGCAGGTGGCCCCTCTGGACCCTCTGCTGGGACTTACAGAGGACAGACCAGGGGGCGCTGATTCTAACTAGGGCTTATCAATCATGTCCTACAATATGGCTGTTGAATACAGTGTTACAGAAAGGACACCATATGAATTAAACAAGAAATTCTTTTCACTCCTTCCTCTTTCACACAGGAAATGTTCTAAGTTCTAGAATAAAATAACAAAGACAAGGATGAAAAAAAAAAGTATGTATCATCCACCCTTCTTTGCCTTGCTTATGCAAGTTACTGTACTATCCACTCAAAAATGGTAACTTCCATCCCATCCTCCCATTCACAACCTATCTGCCCATTGATGCCTGCTCAAGTTCTACACCAACCTCTAATCTCTGTATTGCCATGGTACTGAAGAGTTTGTACCATATGATTTAGTTAGTTACTGCCTTTCATTGTTATGGTATCTACCATAAGGCTGGGTATACAGTAGCTATTAATAAGATTGGGCTGATGTGTGGACAGGTAGTAAGCCCTATTATATGCTCTCCAGTCAAGCAACAGTTTTAGAAAAATTGTCAAGAAAATATTTTTACTTTATTACAACACAAAATTCTAAAAGGACAAATACTCCAATAAGTTTAGAAAACTCATGCCAATGAATTTTAAATCTCCCCATAACCTAGAAACAGCAATTCTTTAATGTATTTCTGACCCCTGATAACTCCTTGCTCATGTGGGGTTTTAACATACCTCTTGGCCAGCCAGAGTTTGGCTTTGGTACAAACAGTGATGTCAGTCAGCTCCTGCTGAAAGTCTGAATTCGTTCTGTGTTTAGAGTCTGAGTAGGCTTGTAACAAATAGAAAACCTAAACGAAAAAAGAGAAAAAGAATATCCTGCTGTGAAAATATATTTTTCCTAAATGCTCAGTTCCTCCCTTTTATGTTTCCTCAAAATACTTCCCTCAAAGAAAACAGACACCTGCAGAATGTGGCTCTGGTCTCTTTGCAGAAAAGCTGTTGGTTTTGGAGAACATAGCGGTGGTAAGAAACCAACATCCTTAATCTGTGCCTATGCCCTGGGTTCTGTGTACAGTTCCAAAAAAGGCAACCACTATGGGACTGAACAATCATTTGAAACAAGAATTTATTAGTTATGAACACTACAAACTGATTTAAGTAAAGAAATGCAAACATCTTTCTCAATGTTGGCAGTCTCACATGAAAAAACAATGTGCCTTTTAAAGTCAAAGTCTTACTACATAGGAAAAAGAAATGATCTGTGAGTCCATACTGGCTTATATGTCTGGATTCACTGAACAGGCAATAATGCTTGCTTGCATTCGCAAATTTTGAGTTGTGCTATCTGTAAACATTTAGGGATTTTTTTTGTTTGTTTTGTTTTTGGCAATCTTCTCTAAGGAGACAGGAGTAGAGGCAGCAATGTACACTTGGCGCTCTTCATTTTACATGGCATTATACATACTAGAAGAAGCTCTAGTAGCACAGTGCCTAAGGCATCTGACTGCTAACCAGAAGGCTGGTGGTTCAAACCCACAAGTCACTCCATGGAAGCAAGACTGGGCAATCTACTTCCATTAAGATTTACCACCTAAGAAACCCAATGGGGGTCGGTATGAGTTGGAATTGACTCAACGGCGGTGGGTTTGTGTTTTGGTATACATACTAGAAGTGCAGCACTGGAATTAAGCCAAGACAAACAGATCCTGCTATCTATTTAGCTGCCTACATTTAGAAAGAAGGCCACAGTTTGCGCAAACATATATGCATGCGAATGTGTGTGTATATGTGTGTGTGCATGAGTGTGTGAATGTGTTGAAGTCACACTCAGCGATGACATCAATATGGCCTCTGTGAAGAGAACAAACTGCAGCAGACAGAGAAAGTAGATGAGAGTGCAGATGAGATCTTTTGACCTCAGCTAGTGTCAAGGAAAAAGAGCATGTCAGAGTTCTTCCCTCTCAGTCATTATCTAAATCAAGGAGGAAGAGGTGAGAGGAACAAAGCAAGTACAGATAAACACACCAAGAACTTTGAAAGTCTATTTTAATCAGTTTATTGTCTTTCCTTATCATATCCTTCACCAGAGCTACAGATATCTCTTTCTAAGGCATCAGATTTAACTTTTCCTTCTCTTTCTCTCTTGTCAAGGAGGAGCCTCAGAAGTGAAATAATGGAGAGCTGGATATAGCAGAGAGTAATGAGAAAAAGTAAGAGGCCAAGTTAAAATAGGTCCAGAGTCATCAGACCCTAAATGGGTGTGAGCTGGCAGGTTTTCCTGGTTAGATATCTGCAGTTATCAACAATAAATACAGTCTGTGCACATATTTGTTTAGAGAATCAAAATAAATTTCGATTTCTGTGCTATATGTAACCACTGTAGTTATTTATTTTCTCAACAGAAGTAGTTGTACAGGAGCATGTATTCATGTCCTGATATGGAGACTAAAAATGCTTTCTCTAATAAATGGATCTGTTATTTCAGAAGCCACGGATCAAATGTCATTGCTTCACCACACCCCTGCGGGACCCAAACCGCCTGTCGTGGAGTCTGGAAAAATGGGTCTGGCTGGGGCTTCTGTGCTTATGTGGTAAGTGTCAGAGTGAAAAAAAAAAATACCTCCCTATGCCTCAATCCCTACTATCCTGAAAGAACTGGCAAAGTCACTAGGCCTCACTTTACTTTTCTCCACAGCTGTACAAAACTAACCAACAGGGCTTTTCACGGTGTCACAAGATCGTAATTAATCAGCAGACACCAGCAAAATACATGACTTTGGAATTTACTTGTAAAGAAAGTTGTAAGATTTTCAAATGCTTCTCATTTAGAAGAAATCACTTCAAAAATAACTCTTGATGGATGTTTAAACTTAGTCTTATATTTGCTCACCTTCCTTGGCAAAAACAAGACTGTTTTTGAAATGCTTGGTAACTCTGGTTTATGAAAATCAGCCTACAGGTCCATCAATTCTGTTACCATGAGTGCAAACCAGACAGCCATTGTGATCCTGGTTATTCACCAGGAGTGGAGAGTGATCTACTTACATGGCATAAATGGAGAGGGTGGCATTCAGAAGAACCACAGTAGGACAAGTATGGACAAGAGACAGAACACGATATCAAGAAAAGACAAGGTCAGAGAAGTCAAGGAAAACAAGGGGCAGGGAAGGGGAAGGGGAAGGAGAAGGAGAGAAAAAGATAGGAAACGGTAAGGAAAGAACAGCATTTTAAGTGAATACACAGAATAGGTTATTGTTTTTGAGAGAATTTTTTTCTTTAAGAAATTAATGAAAATATTTGCATACACAACTATCCTCACATGACATTTAGTGTTGGGCTCAATTTGTTCAAGAAAAGTGAGGCCATCCCATGAGGTGAGGTCCAGGAGCGAGGCCAGGCCTCAGGTGCACTGTTCCAAGGTCAGGCCCAGGAGCTAGAGCAGCTCCCAGGTGGGATCATTCATCCACCAGCTCTTAAGAATGGCAAGAGCAAGGTACATTCTTCATTCCCTCTCGCTTTCCTCAATTCTAGTCCAGAACAACTTCTGGGCTTAAAAGAGTGGTTAGACTCAGACCTGGGATGATGAGGAAGCAGTGTATAATACAGGGCTGTACTGAACCAAGCACAAAGAAACTCAAGCTGCCATGCACTGAGGAGGAAGATTAATGGAATGCATACTGATTTGTGTTTGAGATGGTTAGTGTCATTTTGGGTGTCCCAAATTCACAACAGGATTCAAACATTCAGTCAACAAATATTTATTAAACCATTAGTACTAGGTCCTGTTTTAGGGCCTGCAGCTTACATTCTAATCATGAATAAACTGAAAATCAATAGTTTCCCTGACTTTGCCTGGTTGGGATTTATAACCTGCATGGTAGGATCAATAACATGTTCCTTCTTATGCTTGACCTCACCCTTGACTTGTCTGATGCATAGTAGAAATTCAACAGCATTTTCTGAAATGAACTGATGTGGATATTTAAAAGCTTCATCCTACACAAGACACAAATTCATAATTTAGTCAATTACATTTGATAAGTTATCAAGGAGCTGCTCTAGGTTCCAAGCTCTGTATTAGGACTGAAGACACAGCTGAGTAACATCATGTTCCTTATTCCAATGGATTCCTAATCTGGCAGAGGGAAAGAGGAAGTCATTGCAATGTTGTAAAGAATGACAATTACATTAGTGTTAAGAATCCAGCCCTATGGGCAACAGTAGAAGCAGCACAGACTTCAGAGCTGGATGGACATGAGTGTAAATCCAGTTACCAGTTGTGGGCCTTGGGCAAGTTATTGAACCTGTTTCCTTATGGTTAACTGGATATAATAATATCCATCTTGTAGGACTGTAGAGAAATTTAAAAGAATACATACAGTACGTGGCACACAGTAGGTATTTGATAAAAATGTTAGTTCTTTTCCTAGTTCTGGCTTGTTCCTTCCCTTCTAGTCTACATTCCAAAAATAAATAGGTTTTGCAGATAGGGTGTTATCCATATTTGACCTTGAAAAGGATCTTGCCAGACTTGAAGAAAGAATATGCAAGCAGAGAAAATGGAATTAAAAAAAACAAAAACAAAAACAAAACAACCCACTGCTGTCAAATTGACTCATGGAGATCCTATAGGACAGAGTACAACTGCCCCAAACCTTTACGGAAGCAGACTGCCACATTTTTCTCCTGTAGCAAGGCTGGTGGGTTCAAACTGCTAACCTTTTGGTTCGCAGATGAGTACTTTAACAAATGTGGAAAAAAGAGACTGCTTGGGGAAGAGCAAGTAGTTCTGTGTGAAAGAACATATCCAGGATTTGTGTAGAGTGATGGAAGACACAGCTGGAGAGAGCAGTCAAGTTAGAGCAAGAAAATCTTGAATGCAGCATTAAGGAATGCTTACTTTAATCTGGAGACTGGAAAGATCTTTTCAGAGAGAGTGCTTGTGTGATCTGATCCGTAATTTGGAAAGAAAAGTCCAGGGCAATGTGGGGCTGGATTAGAAGGGGAAGAATGACCAGGACCACTGCAATAAGCCTATACTAGAGGTGCTAATGGTCTAATCCAGAGGCTAAAAATTGATACTGTGTGTAGGCCAAAATCAGCTGCAGATGTTTTATTTGGCCCACATAATACTTCTAAACCCACATTTATGAATCAGGAGATTTCACATAAAAATCATCCCAATTTCCAACTTCTTTTGTAAAGTAGGAAGATCTGGCAAGAGGGGGCCCACATTCCTGCATGGCCACAGTCATCTGGCTGGGGCTGCGGAGCAGCTGAACGCTGTGATGAGAAATGCACTCTCTGGTTCACCACAGTCTCCACTACTCTCTATTACTCATGGTCACCGAGATGGGGTGTCAATGCCATTTATCATTGTTCTTGTGCTTTTTTTTTTTTTTTCCTTCCTCTTCTGGAGAATTAAGAAGAGAATGAAATATTTACTGAACCCAATCTCTATGAAAAGTTTGAAAACAAAGGATGGACTAAGAGGGTCATGTTTATCCCTGGCCCCCCTCATTTACTTATCTGTCTGGCATCAGTAAATTTCTAATTTTGTGAAGTAACCTCCCCTTCCCCTCCTCACACACACATACACAATAGGCTAAACTATCGCAGCAGTGGAATGGGAAGGAAAGGATACATTTGGGAAACACTTTGGATGCTAAAGAGGGAGGCATCAGCAACTGCTTTAAACATGGAGCTGAGAGTCAGGAAAGAGACTCTCAACTAGGGCAGCTGATGCATGGGGGCCATTTTCCAAGACTGAGTTCACAAGAGAGTAAGAAGCAGGTTTGAGAATAAGAAAGGGAGATTGAATGAGTTTGGTTGGGAATATCTGTATGAC